TAAACCTGTCTAATTCACTTGCACGTACGTATGCCGACGCTACTCACCTGACCTTCGCCAGTAACAACATAGAGGTGATCACTGATGTTATGAATCACAACCTATCCAATGTTAATACATGGCTCACTGCAAACAAATGACTCTAAATTCATCTAAAACTGAATTCATGTTAATTGGATCGCGGCAAAGGATAGGTACTTACGATACTTCCCCTAAACTAATCATAGGTGGTGACATAATTAAACAAGTTAGCTTGGTTAAATATCTGGGTGTGCATAGAGACGAAAACCTTGCATGGAATATGCACATTGAAAAAATAGCCAAGAAAATCACATCGGGCATTGGAGCAATTAAACGTTGTAAGCCTTTTGTTAACCGAACCACGCTTGAGTCCGTTTTCAATGCCTTAGTTCAACCGTACTTTAATTACTGCCGCGAGGTCTGAGGGCATTGTAACAAGGGTCTTTCCTGAATAAGCTTCAAAAGTTGCAAAACCGGGCTGCTCGTATTCTGACCTTCTCCAGTTATGACAAAAGCGCTGATCCTCTTTTTGAGCAACTTGACTGGAGACGGTTAGATACTCAGGGACAAATACAAGTGGCCACCATAGTCTATAAATCTATACATGGTCTTGCGCCCAACTATCTTGGTTTTCTTTTCACTAAATATGTTCCTCCTTATACTCTAAGGAACTCTGAAAACAAACTAGCTGTTCCATTGCCCTGCACCAATTTTCTTTAAAATAGCTTTAGCTATAACGGTGCGGTTATCTGGAATAGCTTGTCTCCTGAATTGCGGCAAGAAAAATCACTTCAATCTTTTCGAAATAGTTGTCGCGATTTCTTCGTCTGAATCGACAAAACGCACACGGCATCTATCTAAAGCAGAATTTATTTATTTATTCTATTTCACTTTTAAATTTTAGATCACGTTAACATAGATTAAAGAAGAATGTAATTGTAATAATAGACTGTAATAATAGTATTATTTTATCTGATAGATTTACTGTGTCTAAATAAAACTAAAGTTCAAGTTCAAGTTCTATAGAGCAAAAATCATTTCATCTGTTCGACCTCTTCAACAGGAATTTTCTTTCTTTGTCTTGAATGACTGGTAGGCTTCAATGTGCTTTGTCGGTTTTTCCACAGATCTGGGCGATATGTGGTAAACTTTTCTCTTGTCACTTTCTGCACCATAAATAAAGGAGCTTTTGAGGCACTGTTAAAGTGAAGAAATCATTTTACAGCAATTAGTCAGAATTTAGATCGGTATGAACTCTTTTACACTAAAGAAAGCACATGTAATGAACATCCTGTTGCACCTGATTTGGTTTGCATTTCACAGCTGTTGAATGCTTTAAGGGAGTGTTTTATTAGATGGAAAGAAAGAATAGTGATGACAGTATCCCACTTCAAAGAATGAGATTTAAATAGCGTATTAGAGAATCAGTGACACCCACACTCTGTTGCAGCTTAAAACAAACTTATTCACGTCAGCATTTTAGGTTGATGTAAAACACTGTTACTTTAATAATAATCCTTTATTTCCCATAACCACTAAAAATTTACAAAAATCATGTTAAAAGGCTTAAAATGTCTGATAAAAATCTAAGAAAAGCTATNGTTCGTATTGAAAGAATTTCAGAAAACTTGCATCGAAATTATCCTTATAAAAGTAAATTACATTAAAAAAGTATATGAGAAGGGAAATGACACTCTTACTCTAAAAAGTGTAAAAAAAAATTTTAAAAAATGTCTAGCCTATATTTGCCATAGCATTGTCAATTAAAAAATCTGTATCGAATATTTCAAATGTTCTTCTCTTCTTTCTTGTACCTCTTAAGCATAAGAGAGCGCATCGTAAGAGCGCTGGCAGATCTTGTCTCTAATCCAGGAGATAGTGGTAGAGTATGTTTCACATTTCTTAATGGATATGAGTTCAGCTAAGCGTTTATGATAAATTTTGCATTCAGTGCCCATCCTTCCAGTGGTACTAAAGATCAGGGGCGCAAAGGATCCGTACAGAATATCAAGACGAGCATCTTGGGAAGTGTTGGCCCCATTATTCAAAATTTCTCCCATAATCTGCTGCATGGGAGGCTCCATTTCCACATCTTTACATACGGTACTAAGCAGTGCCACCTCCAGGTCTCTGATCACATTGTGGCGTTGTATCACAAATCCGCCATTACTGCAGGTCATCGCATGGTCCAGTTAATGACTGTACCTATTTAACGTAATCAATCTAAATTTTGGTAAAAAAAAACATTTCAAAACACATACCAATTTACGATTAACTGGTTAATATTAATGACCACAGTTATATCACATGATAAAACATTTAAAAGATTGATAAAAGAATGAAATGTTCCGAACAGTCGTGAGAAGCCGGGTTCTTCTGTTGAGATGCTGCTCCCTACTTTTTGCTATCTACTCAAATCTACAGATTTGAGTGAGAGCTCCAAAGTGAACATTTCACCATACTGGAAAACAGATTAACTCCAATACCTTCATCACTGCTTTCAGTGGACACTTCTGCCTCAATCCACATCTCAATGACTTGCTCTGTAACAGGTTCTGTTGTGTATTAAGGACAATGGATTAACATCATCCTGTGCAGCAAGAAAAAATCTGAATAATTTACTAAGAGACTTTTCATATGTATAACCACTTAATTTAAAAAAAATATTGTGCGCACTTGAATTCTAGCTATACCTGCCGATGGGGTACTACATGACTATGGTGCAATTATAGCAACACTAGGTTGTCTTTTATAACAAAAAGTGTGTAATTAATGAATATCACTTTGCTATATTATACATGCCTGACAAAGACTTACACAGGAAAGCAAATTTTCAGTTAAGTTTTGAAGAATTTCTTTACTTCGTCTAAACTTTCTTTTCAACGAAGGTCCTTTTCATTTCATCAGCTACAGATTATTATGTGCAAAGCTAAATATTCTCATACCATACTGATCAATACACACAATGTCCCTTGCTTCACCTGATCCACAGTTGCCTTGGAAACCTAATGGTAATCCTTTGACCACATGAGGGGTGAACATCCCCTCCTGAAATTAATTAAAATATAAAATAGCATTACTTACTTTTAGTAGAGACACCAGCAATATATTAATAAATGGTAGTTATTATATGGCTGTGTCTCACGAAGACTGGGAACTACCGAATTCACAGATTTTATCAATTGGCTGAAGTCAATATTGAAAGCGGTCTAGATTTTTCCATCGAGATCAGCATCTAGACCAGTCTAGGAAAAAAAGGTACAAAGTATATAAAAAATTGGCATATAAGACTCAGCCATGTAATAACCATATTATTAACCGAGCTAGGTCAGTCTGTATGGGGGAGTCTTGACCTTGGTCACTGGTACAGACCTCGCTGTATTCGGTCTGTACTGGTGACCTCGGTCAAGATTCTCCCACACAGACCTCCCACTCGGTTAATAAAAACTACATGAAAAGGGGTACAATGAATATTTTGATTCATTGCACTACAGACAGCATGAAAGCTGAATTGACAATATACTCTATGTTACACAACAACAACAACATTTTTATTTCTACCTTGAATGAGTCATAAGTACATATTTACAAAATATTTATTNGCATAGCCATCACAGATATTTCAATAAACTAGTCTACACACGCATTTTCATTGGTTCTTAATTGTGATCTATTGGAGAGGAGACACCGAGATTGCGTCACCGAAAACATAATGTTGCATCCTTACTATATTAAAAAGAAATATAGCGAGTAGTACAGCCAATCAAACTGCAGTGTTTTTGATACAACGCTGGTAGATTTATACTAACCGATATGTCTGATGAGTTTATGTTCCTTAACTTAGATGATAAGATCTTTTTTACCGTGTTCACACTTTGATTTATCTGCTCGCTTGATACGGATTTAACCTATATATTGCAAGGAATGTTTAGGGGTAACGAAATTATTATCATTAGTACTTAATTCAACTGTTAAGAATTTAATCAACCAATGGCTAAGGTAACAGAGAGTACAGATTATTTTAATGCCACCAGAGTTCATACAGCTCCATAAACAATCAGAATAAAATCTTTAGCAGAACCCTTATTTATTGGGTATTTTGGCTTAAGTTGCTGTAGATTAAAATCAGTTTACAGTAATAATTCCAATTCAATATAAATTATCGCTTAAATGAGGTGCCTTGGTCGTCTAAGGATTTCTGCTGTGTCCAGCCAGACCTTTGATGAAGTTCTATTCCCATGAGTGATGTGGAAAATTCCCACACTTCAGCCACAAGCCCGAGTTCCAGCATAGTTAATAGAGGAGACCTCCATTAATTGTGGTCTCAGGCATTCATCCGTACTTGCTAAAGCAACAGCAAGGAAAGGAAGCTGAGTGTGAAGGTGCAACTTATGAAATAAAAACGCTACAAATCCACTTGGGATTGCTGAGAAACAGTTACCAAAGTGCTTGTAAATTTAGAGATGGTAGCTGTGACGAAGTTGTTACGACTCTTAGTAGCCCGTGTTCACTGCACTGGCCACTGACCGTGAAGGTGGCTCATGAGCTAAATTAATTACGGCGGCCTGGGTGGAACACAGTTACAATCATCTAATTAATAAGGCTAATGTTTTCGAATGCGACTAATCCAACAGCCAACTTTAAACAACCCCATTGCTTCTTCGTCTGAATCGACAAAACGCACACGGCATCTATGTAAAGCAGAATTTCTTTATTTTTTCTATTTCACTTTTAAACTTTAGATC